ACTTCATGCCGAGCTTCAGGCGAAGGAGAATAGTAATAATAAAAATGGGAAAGCCATGGTCATTTCTCCTGCCATGCTGCAGAAGATCTTACACATGCGAGTATAGAATAAAGAAAAGATATATGTGCCTGTATGTATGTTTATGTGCATATCCCTTCAAATGTATCATAGACGGATAAAATGTCAGAATTAGCAAAGTAAATATCAATTTATCATGACATATGTTACACTTTGTGCTACAAATTCTTTAGATTTTGTAACCATTTGATACCAAAGCTTCAATTTGTTTTGGATGGGTATCATGGTTCATGAGCTTGTATTAAATGGTAGGATATTTATAGTTAATTATGTAATTTGTAATTCACCTCTAATAAAAATAAAAGTGTGAGAAATAATTATCATTATTAAGCACTATTATTATTATTATTATTATTATTATTATTATTATTATTATTATTATTATTATTATTATTATTATTATTATTATTATTATTATTATTATTATTATTATTATTATTATTATTATTATTATTATTATTATTATTATTATTATCGTCGTCGTCGTCGTCGTCGTCGTCGTCGTCGTCGTCGTCGTCGTCGTCGTCATGATTATTATTATTATTTTCTACATGATATCAGCCGCCAAATATACTTAGTAGCGTATTTTTTCGACCATACTCATCAGTCATCATGAGCATTGAGCACGCTAAGTTCACATCTATGGCAAATTGCCATTGGCAATGGTCGAAGAAATTGAGATGTTCTTGAATCTTGATTCAAAGTTAATAGATATTTTGGTAGAGAATGGTTTTAAAAGAGATTTAACGTTTGTAAAAGAGTTTAAAGATATTTTCTAGAAGATTATCAGCGGTGTATAATAACATTGAAACATGTTAATTTATTATTATAAAAATACTATCATAAAAGTAAATTTTGTTTGGATTAAAAAATATATAATAACATTGAAATATGTAATCAAACGTTTAATATTTACTATTCAAAATATTCATCTCATTTACACTAAAATGATATACTACCTCCGTCCCTTTTATATTGGGACGGAAAAGGGTGACACGATTTTTAAGAAAAGTGAGTTTGTGTGGTTGATATCAATTAATAAAGTAAGAATAAAGTAAGAATGATTTAGAGTCACACAAACTTTATCAAATATGCTATGGGACAATTTTAGTGGGACTTCCCGAAAAGGTAAAATAGGACAATATAAGAGGGACAAAAGGAGTATAAAACTTACTTATGACCTCATATATATAATAATTTTATCAAATTACGAAATAACTTGGTATTATTAACAGGTAAATTTGTTTTAGTATTTATCTATGGTACCCATAAGGTACCGTACTTTTGTCCACATGGACCAATCAAAATCATGCAGTTGAATTATTTAAATCTAAAGGGAAAAGTGTCAAATAGGCCCCCCTACTAATACGAAAACGTCAATTAAGCCCTCGAACTAAATATAACGAGGCAAAACAGTCCTTTTAGCAGGATATTAACCGTTCTCAGTTAAGTTGCATGTGTTGCAAATGATGTGGCATGCTTTTACATTTTCTTTTTCTCTTTTTCTCTTTCTTTCCTTTTTTCCTTATCTCTTTTTAACTGCTTAATTACCTGCTAAAAGGACTGTTTTGCCTCGTTTTTTATAGTTCGTGTGCTTAATTGAGTGTTTTTTGAGTTCAGGGGCTTAATTGACTTTTCTGTATTAGTAGAGGGGCCTATTTGACAATTTTCCCAAATCTAAATTAAAAGGGATTGAATGATTTGGACCAATCAAATGCATGTAGGTTCGGTACCCCATTTTTAAATGGGTACCGGAGTTGTCACCATTTTAAAATATATGACTCGATTTATTTAATTTAATGATCGCATTTGCCCAGTGAAAAAATTATTTTAAGGGCATCCTCATCCATAGATCATTTTTAGGATCATTTTGATGATGTGGAGGATTTTTTTTTGGGATCATGGATGAGGAGTTGAGATTATTTTATGAGATTATTCGATAAAATAATCTGGTATCAAATTCTAAAGCTGGATTATTTCCAACTTTTAGACTCCTCTCTCCATTTTCTAGGCATATACTCATAATTAAATTGATGATTAGCTTTGTAGAGATTTTGAAATTGAGTGCATGTCTCATAAATGTAGGTAAATTAAGATCATGGATGAGAAGAATTGATAGGTTTGGAGATTATTTGAGATAATCTTATGTGGAAGTGACATGGCAATAAGAAGCCATAAAAAACCGTAAACTTGAGTATCATGAATGGAGATGTTCTAAGGGGGCAAATTATACCGTGGGATCGTTACACCGTGTGCACGGTGTACCGATCCCACTTTTCCCCGTTTCGTAACTCTTCATTTTTCTCCCAAAGCACTAGTGGCATAACTCTTATCTTTCTCTTTGCAATTAATTCTCATGCTTCCCATTACTTGGTAAATGAATTGTCATCCTTCTCAATTCCCAGTAACCATATTTAATTATTAAAAAAGAATTTTTCTTTATTTTTCTTATTTTCATTTTTGTCTCCTTCTCTAACAAAATATTAAAGTTTTAATTATATTTTTATTTTTCTTTATCTTCACCTTAAATAACAATTAATCTATTTTGTATTCTTTACCATTTCGTAACAAATAATTTATATTTTTTAAAAAATTATGAATGTAAATAAAATAAGTACATTGCATTCATATTCATACACTATTTATTTTCTATAATATATTTTATATTCATACATTTTTTAATATAATTTTTCATATTCATAAACTTTTTTCCCAAAATATATTTTTTGTATTCATACACTTCTCTGTATTTGATAAATTATATTTCATATTAATTCACTTTATCGATTTACATTTGATAAATTATGATATTACATGTATAAATGATTCTTAGAGTTACATTTGATATTATATAGAGTTACATCTTCTTATACACAAGTTACATCTTCTTATGCGCGAGTTACATCTTCTTATTCGTGAGTTACATCTTATTATATGTGAGTTACATCTTCCTATGCGAGCGTTACATTTGGATTTGCTTCAACATGTTACATTTTTCATACACCTAAGTTAGATTCTTTATCAACCCGAGTTACATTTTTGCATAACGCGAGTTACATCACAAAATAAACTCCGACTATTGAAACAAAAAATGATTTTTGTCAAAAAAAACTGATTTTTTGGTTAAAAAAATTATTTTTCTTTGAAACATTTTATGGCCTTAATACTAACAACAAAACATATTAACTATTTACGCAAATTAATTTGAGCAATTAGACTCATTGTCTTCATTAATTAGCTTTGATAGTATATGGAGTTACATCTTCATATACTCGAGTTACATCTTTTTTATGTGTGAGTTATATCTTCATACGCGCGAGTTGCATTTAGACATGTCTTAACAAGTTACATTTTGTATACACCTAAGGTAAATTTTTCTTCAACGCGAGTTAAATTTTCCATCACAACATAAAGCCCTACTATTGAAACAAAAGAATCGTTTTTTTTTCAAAGATTTTTTTTGGCAAAAAATGATTGCTTTGACAAAAAAAAAGTGATTTAAAAAAAAATATTTTTATGACCTTAATAATAAAAACACATCATATTCACTATTTAAGTAAACTCCTGCTATTGAAACAAACAAAAAAAAACTTTTTGCAAAAGAAAAATGTTTTTTTTTTGCGAAAAAATGATTTTTTGGCCAAAACAATTGTGATTTTAAAGAAAAAATATTATTTACGGTATTAATATTAAAAACAAAACATATCCAATATTTACGTTAAGTAATTGAGTAATTAGACTCTTTGTTTCATTAAAATCAATGTTTTATTTCTTATAATCTGTATTAAACAAGTTACATTTCGACTTGCATGCAGTTATATTTCTTATTAATGAGAGTTACATTATTGTATACACGAGTTACATCAGTAAGTTACTATACAATGAAAAAACAAATAAATTATTGTCCCAAATAGAACTAAATTATTCCTAAAATTCCTAAATAGGATTATGTATATTTTTATTCCCTAAATAAGACTGAATTACTTATATACCCCTATTCCTTTTAATCTCCCTGCGGCACATCATCCGATGCCCTACCTGCGCATAACTTTTCTCTCCTCCTCCTCATCCATGCGTATCATTCATTCTTCTCCTTCCCATGTAAATCTTCTCTCCTTGCCCTTTGCACACGAATAAAAACCTAGAAGCTCGGCCAAACCCCATAGCCGCCGCTGTATCGAGGTCCGCCGCCGCCGCCATCGCGAAGTCCACTGCCGCCGCCGCTGCTGGAGACCGAATTCTATTCTCCGTAGGTCGGCTTCTCTCCTCTGATGGTTCTCCCGCTCTTCTCTAGTTTTCTCTTCCCCATGCTCCAATTCTTCTTGGATTTTTACAGAATGCCAAGTTAAACTCTGAAAAATGCCATTATAATGGCATTTTTAGTCTTCAAATATTTTGTATTTGCCTTTGAAATGCCATTAAGATGGCACACAGGTAATAAACTTGGCATTCAAGCTGGTAACGGCCAGATCTATAACTGAGGGGGTCATATTAGCAACGGCAGATGCTGGATCAGAAAGGATGGTTGCTGGATCTACAGGGGCTGCGGTCGACGGCCGGCGGAGGCTAGATCTGGCCAGATCTCCGGCGACGCTCGCCAGATATGCAACGGAGGTGGGCATATCTGCAACGGCGGCCAATTTTTGAGGTTGTCGGCGATGTCCGGCGACCGGCGGTGAACGGCGGCGACCGTCAAATGGCTGTGGTCTAGTGTCGTGGTCTGCGGGAGTATGGCTTCCAATTTCAGGGGTATTTTTATCTAATTTCAAATAATAACTCTTATTTGGGGAATTTGTAAACTTTGATCCTATTTTGACAATTTTAGACTTATTTACTCCTATTTAGGTAAATATCTCAAAACAAAAACAAATTACACGCCGTATATTTGTTCAAGACACCGCGTGAACAGTAATACACGTTGTGTGGGAGCCCTCACGGCCGGCTGCTCCCACGGTATAAAGAGAGAGAGAGTCGTTGATTAGGCGTGTGTTGCTGACGACGCGGGAATGCATTGACTTTTGCTTGCAAAGTCGTCGCCGGTCTGTACAATTCGAGTAGATTGCACTCTATACGCCATTATTAGTGGTAGCTGTATAAAGAAGAACACTGCATGATCGATCAATAGTAAATAACCAGACCCAATCAATCACCGTTCACGCCGACTAGCTAGAGAGCATGGAGAGTCTACTGAAGGAGAAGAGAGGGGGAGAAACGGTGCTGGACATGTCGCCGCGATCTACGCCCGGAGGCGGCGTGGAAGACGTATACGGCGAGGATCGCGCCACCGAGGATCAGCTCCTTACTCCCTGGACGACTTCTGTTGCCAGGTAAAACTGTACACCCATCCAACCATCACCCCCTTCTTATTCTGCTTCCTCTCATCTGTTTGCATTTAAATTTGCCAATCGTTTTTTCCCTTCTTTTTATTGTGATTTGTGCATGCTTGCTTGATTTGATTTTTGATGGTCTTTTAAGTATTTAGCTGAAGTTAATTTTTCCGATCGCCATCTTTGATTTTTCAATATTGTTCTGGCACAAGGGAAAGGAAAAGAAAGAAATATCACTGTCTAGGAGGAGGTAGGTGTTATATGTATGGTGTATATATCCATCCCCTGACTTGTGCCGCGGCTTGGCTTCTCAAAGAGCTCAAGCCTCCATTGCAACAGTGTCACGTAACATTTCCTCAAGATTAGTCTATGCTCAACCATGGGAAAGGATCTCTCAATGATTCATGTATTGGGAATTGAAACAAGTATAGTGAGTTGCTAACTTTGAACATGGCTGGGTGAAATATTAAATATAGCTTGCCTTCTCTATAGTTTCTAGCATATTGATGCGTATATATATTTCACCAAGTGTAGACCAAGAGGGGTAAAATTTTGAATACTTTAGAGAGAGTTGTACGTAATGTTTTTGTAGTCGGGTGAGCTTGACTTATCCTCATTTTATATCGTAATACATATAATACTTTTCCAATTTCAACAAGGCTAACTGCACGAGTAGATCACCTGTCTCGTTTTGCTCGTGAAACACATGGTTCTCTTCCATCTTCCATTGCCCATTGAGCAACTGTTTACAAGCACCCATAGGCTCCTGCAGAGAGCCTCTAGATGTTACTCTACCTTTCACTTACTCAACCTCATAGGTGGAGTCACATTCAAGAATAACTTGGTTAGAACCACTGCTCTATACATGACTAAGGCTGTTGTTGAGTGCCCTGGTTTCCCCACCTGCTGCATCGGTCCCACTGTCCCATTCAAAATCCTGCCGAGTCCTTACTCCATCTCCCGCAAATTCAGGGGCGGAGCTAGGGCACTGGGCCGGTACAAAGAATATTTTTGGAATTTTTTTTACACGGAATTTTTTACACTAAAAATACAAGCATTTTTAAAATTTGGGCTGGGCCAGGGATGGTCCTCCCCTAGCTCTGCCCATGCCCGCAATCATCTGGGATAAGACCCCCCACATGCCACACTACTCTTACCGCAATTGTTTTTAATCTTTGATGTATCTTGTATCCATTGACAGCGATCCTCCTTTCTTTCTTTTCAACTGTTTGCAACAGTGGCTACAATTTGTTAAGAGACCCTCGTTTCAACAAAGGCCTTGCTTTCAAGGAGAACGAAAGAGATGCTCATTACCTCCGAGGTCTCCTTCCTCCTGTAGTTGCTTCCCAGGAGCTTCAGGCATGCTATTCCTATTGTCTAATCTGAACTCACAGCTCATGACCATTGTTTTTCACACTTAGTGTTCTTATACACAGGAGAAGAAGTTTATGCAAACTATCCGCCAATATGATCTTCCCATACACAAGTATATGGCTATGATGGAACTTGAGGTATTCCTCATTGATCTCCTTAATTTTTGTTTTCATTATGGCTTATTGACTCCTTGATTTAAGTTTTCCTTAACCACACAGGTTATTTAGTTATTTTTTTCCTTTGCTTTCTTTCTTTCTATCTAAACATGCGTATTGACTTGCTAATTTACCGTTTCCAAGTAAGCATGGATGCTGTAGTTATCATTCTTTTCTGAACAGCTTATTGTTTCTTACAGGAGATGAATGAAAGACTGTTCTACAAGCTTCTTATTGATCATGTGGATGAGCTACTACCAATTGTCTACACCCCAACAGTTGGTGAGGCTTGCCAGAAATATGGAAGCATATTTAAGCGTCCTCAGGGTCTATACATCAGTTTGAAGGAAAAGTATGATTGTACTCTGTGGCCGAATAGCTAGCCATATTTCCCACACACACAAAAACCTATACAAAATATTTCTATTATGGGCAGGGGGAAGATTCTCGAGGTATTGAAGAATTGGCCAGAGAGGACAATCCAAGTCATTGTTGTAACCGATGGTGAGCGAATTTTGGGACTTGGTGACCTTGGCTGCCAGGTAGGGCTTAGAAATGGATTTTTCTTCTGTGATTTCTATATCAAAGTCATATTTCCTTATGACCAGATATTGTATCGTAGTAACTAGTAAGCTTGTTGCATCTGTTTCCTTGTTACAGGGGATGGGAATACCCGTGGGGAAGTTGGCTCTTTATACAGCACTTGGTGGAGTTAGGCCTTCAGCGGTACCAAAACTTGGTAGAATTTGTTTGCACTGTTTTGTAACTAAAGTACGTTCTGACCAGATGTATTGGTGTACCGTTGTCTGTACAGTGTTTGCCTATAACAATTGATGTTGGGACAAACAATGAGCAGTTGCTGAAGGATGAGTTCTATATCGGGCTTAGACAGAAGAGAGCAATTGGACAGGTGAATTGCAGAACTTGATGACTTGCAGGACATTAAGTTGGTCACTATGAATTGATCTTTTGACTAAATCTTTAGGAATACTATGACTTTCTGGACGAGTTCATGACTGCTGTAAAGCAAAACTATGGTGAAAAGGTTCTTGTACAGGTCAGTGTTCACTTGACAAAAGTAATGCTCTTATATATATATAGAGAGAGAGAGTAATCTTCCGGTCAGGAAATTCCTGACCGGAGCTCCGTCCGGCCTCCTCCTTTTGGGGGCCTTCCCGGTGGCATTTTTTCCTCAAATTTTTTGTGTATGTTCCTCATCAAGTCTAGTTCATCCATACCAAATTTCAGCAAAAAATTCAATCGGGAAGGTCGTCAAATGATTTTTGCAAGTTAACTGGTCCGGAATATGTATTTTCCGGACCAGTTAACTTGCAAAAATCATTTGACGACCTTCCCGATTGATTTTTTTGCTGAAATTTGGTATGGATGAACTAGACTTGATGAGGAACATACACAAAAAATTTGAGCAAAAAATACCACCGGGAACTGCAACAAAAGGCTGAGGCCGGACGGGGTCCGGTCAGGAAATTCCGGACAGGAATTTTCCTCTCTCTCTCTCTATATATATATATTTAGAATCAGCTTCATTTGTTAATGTGGATGGGATTTAATGCCATTTTCAGTTTGAAGATTTTGCAAATCACAATGCATTTGAGCTGCTGGCCAAATATGGAACCACTCATTTGGTCTTCAATGATGATATACAGGTTTATATATTTAATTCACCAATTAACCTGTTCTTGTTGTAGCTTTTGTTTAGACTTGAGAAAAGCTGTTTCTTCGATTTAATATTTGGACCTCTCTACCTTGCAGGGGACAGCTTCTGTGGTGCTTGCAGGGCTTGTGGCCTCACTTAAGCTACTTGGGGGTACCTTAGCTGACCACAAGTTTTTGTTCCTTGGTGCTGGAGAGGTAATACGTAGTATTATTTAATTTCCACAACCAATCTGAGAGAAAAGTAGACAGTTTGAAAGTAGCACATTATTAAAGTTGAGAATCAAAAGTGGGAATCTTAAGAACCAAAAGTTTCATTAGTTAGTTTATTCTGTGCATAAGTGATAGGAAAGTATTCAAGTTTGTTGCAAAAAATCTTGGTGCAGTTTATCTTAAGACAGTGAGAAGCATAAGATTAAAGAACAACATACACCATTTTATCTTTCCGTTTACACTGTCCATGTGAATTATTGTATATGCATGTGTGCGCTTGCAGGCTGGCACTGGTATCGCAGAGCTAATAGCTCTTGAGATTTCAAAGAAGGTATCGGACATGTTATTCTCACTGATCATAGGTCCTAAAAACAAAAATCTTCTCTTGTTGGTCTGTGACATGTGGATACTAACTTCTCTATCTTATCCTCAGACAGAAACCCCTATTGAAGAAACTCGTAAAAGGATATGGCTTGTGGACTCAAAGGTAGAGGAGGACTATTTTGGATATTGAGGCCCTAACACAAAACTTAAAACTACTTTGTTTGGGTTCCAAAAGTCTCAGTCACTGAAATTTCAAACCTGGCAAGCAACCGCCCCCTAACAGGGATGTCTCATTTTCCAATAATAATTTGGGCTTGTTGGTCTTTGTGATATGTCTGCAGGGGTTGATTGTTAGTTCTCGAAAAGCATCTCTTCAGTCCTTCAAGAAGCCTTGGGCACATGAACATGAACTTATTGACAATCTCTTAGACGCTGTCAAGGTTTGTTAAATATTCATCTATAGTAATTCCTGATTTAAGCTGTCTATATGCTCGTGTCATTTAGTTTCTTTAATACTGATTTTAGCACATGTTTTTATTTTAAACAACTGCTGTGCTCTTTCCGAACTTAGGCTATCAAGCCGACAGTGTTGATAGGTACTTCTGGAGTCGGAAAAACATTTACAAAAGAAGTGATTGAAGTCATGGGTGCAATTAACAAGGTAGCCTATTCTTAATCAGTACCCATACCTATCCTCTTCTTCATTCAAACTCAACCTGAACATCGAAGTTCTATATATTGAATTGCATGCATTTTAGAGACCTCTTATATTGGCACTTTCCAACCCAACATCACAAGCCGAATGTACTGCTGAAGAGGCTTACAAATGGACTGAGGTGATGCTCTCAGTTTTTCAGAAGACAACCCTTCTTTAATTAGTTGGGCCAATACAATAACAGATCTGCCGATGTTATATACATTTTTAAATAGGGTCGTGCAGTGTTTGCAAGTGGCAGCCCGTTTCCTTCAGTAGAATACAACGGCAAACTTAACATACCTGGCCAGGTTATGATACAATATGAGATTTGCTTTCTTTTACACACAAATTTATGTATAAAAGACCTTTTATGTCATTGAGTATATTGATTTTTGTCCTCTGATGTCTGCACAGGCTAACAACTGCTATATTTTCCCTGGGCTGGGTTTTGGTCTGGTCATGTCTGGTACCATCCGCGTGCATGATGATATGCTCCTAACAGCTTGTAAGTGTGCAGCAATGGGGTCTAAAATGAGTTTCAGTTGTCATAAAAAAACAACAGCAACATCCAAGCCTTAGTTACAATAGTAATAGATAACAATATACTACGTAGTACATATCATGCATTTCACGCTGGTTAGAATTAAAGGATTGAATTCCCATGGCTGCTTTTAACATTCTTTTATGCATTTATTAATTACTATGAGAACAGCTGAGGCTTTGGCCAGCCAAGTAACTGAAGAACACTATGCGCAAGGAATGATTTATCCTCCTTTCACAAACATCAGGAAGATATCTGCTCAAATAGCTGCTAGCGTAGCTGCTAAAGCATATGAACTTGGTATGTATGGAATTTCAAAAAATAATTCTTTGTTTTTTGTTCAACATTAATCAGAAGCCAAGATTAATAGACATAGTTTACTGTAACAAACTGCATGTGAAAAAAACTTCAGGTGTTGCAACTCGTCTTCCTCGGCCTGCGGATTTAGTGAAGTATGCTGAGAGTTGCATGTACACTCCCATCTATAGAAACTATCGTTGAATTAGGGTGCAGCTAGCAGTCGTCTCAGCTCAGAGTGATCAAGGAATGGCACCAACTTATCCCCACTAGATCGATTCTAATACTTCTTTTTGTTTGATCCGTGTGTGTATTAAAATAGAAAGTGTCTTTCCCATCAAATAAAAATAAAAATAAATAAGGTGCATTTAATTATTGAATCAATTCCTCTATATACATAACATAAAAAATATATCAAACTGGTACCTGATGGATTCCTAATTGATCTTTACCGTTGTTATTGCGCTCCTTGTGTCCCCCAATTGACCTTTCAATTTTGCTATGAATTGAACTCCATTAGATTAACATTATTAGTTTATTTTATCTCAAACTATCATCCAATTTACAAATCTATGCTATTCTTTCAATTTTATCACAAAAGATTCAAACATCGAGCCCGTTTGGTAGCACGAAAATCGGCTGCTTTGGCTGTTTCTGCTGAAATTTATGAAGTTCTGGCTGAAGTGGCTGCATTGGATGATTCTGCTGATTTAAGAAAAAATTATTTTTAAAATATACTTTATTAATAAAATAAAGAAAAAATTATATGTAAAAATAGCTAAAATGATCATATACAGTAACTTCAGCCAATACAGCCAGAAAAGTAACACCAACCTTACTTTTTCTGCTTATTACACAATTCAGCGCGCGAAAGCAAAAGTTACGTGTTTGGTGAAAAAGCTGGCGGTTAAGACTGATAATCCGAAAAACAGTGGTTCCCAGCGGACTCATCATCTTTTCCAATAATTATGCTTTCTTTTTTGTTTTTTCAAAATTACACATTTTTATCAATACCAATAAGATATATGCAATTCAAGTTTGTAAACTTAACATTAGAAAGAAGTGAAAAATATGAAATATATAAATATGATTTTCTTCTTGAGTTTTACTAATTCATCTATTGAAAGTGTAATTGTGAAAAAAGTTGAAGTTTGAGTCTATTTTTAATAGAAGTGAAAGTATAGGATAGATTTATGAATTTGATTATAGTTGGGGATATATATTTATAGAGAAAGATGTTCCACCTCCATTTTAGCCATTTTTCATCGCCAGAATTTCTAAGAATTTCTAACAAGAATGCCATCCGTCCACCTCCATTTTAGCCAATTTTCATTGATTGCAGTAAATGAAATGGATTTAGGCAATTTTAGTTTGATAAATAAGAAATGAAGTAACTACAAACACACTATAAGAAACACAATTTTAAAGGCAACATATATACAATGAACCAAAAAATCTACTTTTTAATAATCTAATAATCATTTTACCTTTAGAAGTGTGAAATTAATAAAACTATCACCATAATCAAGATTAGCTAACATTATAAATAAACAATAAAATCTAAAACTAACTAATACAATTATAAATGTTTAGTGAAAAAATAACTAATCAAACTGATATGAACACAATTAAAATGACAAAAGTTAAAAGGAAAAATGGAAAATAATGAATTCAACTATTGTCGGTCCACTCAAAACTAATCGTAACTATTGACTATTCTATAACTAATCTGCTCGTTCTTCTTTTAATAATCTTAATCACCAACTCATTTATTTTACAAAACATATAAAATGTTATAAAATTTTGAAAAATAGGATTAGTATAACATGCAAATTTAACTAAATCTAAGAAGCGTACCACAATTTAAAATATAAAAATATTACATTTTATTTCAAGGTGTAATACAAATGATTGAATCTGAACATGATAATGAAAAGAGATAATTACCCTAGGTATGACTAAAACTCAATAAGATTCTCAATCTATGACCTAACAAGTTTTCTCCCTAAAATAATATTAAAATTCGAAATTTAAAATTAAAAATCGAAATAATTAAATCATAGATAATTTTTATGGACAAATATACCCTTTGGTTTATATCTATAAAACCCTAATTCCCTACTTCTTTTTTCCTAACCATTGCTACAGCCGCTCATGTGTACCTCCGCCGCCCACACACCCAATCGCTGTTGTTTGGTGAGTCTCCACCCGCCGTTTAGCTACCGGCCGCCGGCCAGCGCCGCCTCCTTCAACAGATCTGTAGTCTAGGAGCACGGCAACAGTCTTTCTAATATCAGTCTCTGGCCTGGGAGCAATTTCACCCGACGTGACCTGGGTGGGAAGCTGTTGGTCGATGAAAATCTTCAAACACCACGATACCATGGTCTCAAATTAAAGGTTCATTGGTCGGCAAGAGATATAGAACTTATACAGATGTATATATATAATATATGCATGAGCTATTTACCGTATAGAAATTGATCGAGGAGATCATTGAGGTATTTGAGATTATTATTATTATATTAATATTTCTCAATTGGTTTCCCAATGCCTTATGTTGTTGCCTCGTTGGAGGAACAATATGTGGTTCCCAAAGAGTATACTCGAGCCCTGTGAACATTTATGCACTATATTGTGGTTGATTGCTGGCATATTGGCAGCAATTTAACTGGTTTCCATTCTCATTCATAATTATTACTCCCTCCGTTTCAGTTTGGTTGACACACTTTCCTTTTTTGGACGTTTCAAAATGAATGCCACACTTCCCATTTGGTAAACAAAACAGTGTCAAACAGTGCCAAACAGTGTCCAAACAGTGTTCAAATAGTGTCCAAACAGTGCCCAAACAGTAAAATTTACCCCTTAGTAAATGTTTTCCTTAAATGTTGACAAATCAAACTATGTCAACCAAACTGAAACGGAGGGAGTATTATTTTTTAGATTAGGGTTTGTTGAATTTAGGATTTATGGGAATTTAATATGGGCATTGAACATTGGCGATGAACATGACAATAAGTGTTGAATATGGGCAGTGAATATGATGACATATAATATGACGATAAATAATATTGTAAATGACAGTCAATGAATGCATTGAAAATTTTGTTGTGCAGTGATTATGACCAGTATTGTTGTTACACAAAGCAGTAATATCATCATGAAATCCAATATATTTAATTCAACGTAAAATATAAAATTATTAATAATTTTGGCGGGAACACATTCAACGTAAAATATCATTCAACGTAAATTTTGATGACATTTTTTGAGCATCTTATTCACCAAGTCTAGTTTACTCATACCGAATTTCAGCTAAAAATCAACCGGGAACACATTCAAATTAATTTTTGAAGATAAATGTGCATTTTTGCGTTCTTGAATTAATTTGAATGCGCTCCCGATTAATTTTTTAGCTAAAATTTGGTATGAGTAAACTAGACTTGATGAATAAGATGCTCAAAAAATTTCATCAAAAAATTCCACCGGGAACCGCCCCAAATCACGACGACCGGACAAAGTCTCCTATAGAAGGACTTAATTGACTTTTTTATGAAAGTTCGAGGACCTATTTGACAGTTTTCCCAAAAATAAATTCCTCAAGTAAATGAGAAGAAAATTAATTTTGGCGGAAGTGCAGTGATTATTACCGGATGTGCAGTAAAGTTGTGCATTAATGTTATGCATTAACGGCAATATAAAGTGCATTATTTTTAATAGGACGAAATTAGTGCAAAATGCACATATTTTAAATAAGGGTATTTTTGTCATTTAACCATTAAATAAAAACGAGATTTATTTATTTATTTGGATTTTTGGTCATAGATAAGTATTAAAACTAGTTAGGTCATAGATTGAGAAACTCATTGAGTTTTAGTCATATTCTAATAAATTTCCCTAATGAAAAAGAGGAGAATATTAGAGAAAACGACGATAAAAAGGTTCAATGAAAAAGTCTGTTGAGGTTTATTCCTTCAACCCTTGGGTCCAACACGTAAGCCCAAGGATTTCGAGTGGATGACTTAAGTGTGATTGATTAACTGACCCAACAGGCAAGTAAGATGGATTGGAGAGAGTCAGAAGCAGTAAAGGACCGGATATTATTAATGATAAATAACGCCCCGATACAATACTCTTGCTAAGGCCGTAGGCCATTCGTCTTATCCTGCAGTAGAAGAGCTACGAATAATAAGGTAATAAGCTAGAGTGCTAAAAATAGTAAGTTGCCAACCTTTACAATGAAATAAATGCTGCTATTTATACCAACAATGGACAGTTGGTTATGCTAACGTGGAGGGCTGTGTGTGGCTGGTGTCCCAACCACCAAATCTTCAGCATTAAATGCGCTTCCCGCCAGAATCTGGGTTTCCCTCCTAACTTGTGGAGACGTACGTCCAGCTGGGATGTGGGCCTGCTCCTGATGATGCTGCAAAGGGCAGTGGGCCGCTCGTATCCTGGCCCTTAGGGGATTTGTCACTTAAATTGGATTGGCATCAAGCGGTTGAATTTTGAAAGATTGGCATCTGGTCAGATCGTCAAATGATTTTTGAAAGAAAACTGTGTTTTATATGTATATTCCGGACCAATTTTCTTTCAAAAATCATTTGATGACCTTCCCGATTGAATTTTTTGCTCAAATTTGGTATGGATGAACTAGACTTGATAAGGAACATACACAAAAAAATTTAGCCAAAAATACCACCGGTTCTCAGGGGTTCTCATTTTAAGAGGGGTTCTCACTAGAACTCTCCCATATATATATATATGGGAAAGAAACCCACTCTTGAAGTAAAATTTCTATTACAAATTATCAAAATAACACATCCCCGTGTCAAACATCCACAACAAAATAAAAATAAATTCCCTCAAACCTTCAAATATTTGATAGCAGTTTGAACATCCTTATCCCCTCTGCCACTACAGTTTAGCACAACCCTTGTGCCATCTGGCAGAGTCGGGCACAATTTCTCCAAGTGCCAGTGCATGTGATATTGTGATGTCTCCAGAGCAGGAATAATGCCCTCTAACCAGGATAATCTTGTAAGTGCTTCTAAAGCCTCTTCATCAGTTATGCTATAATATTCAGCTCGTTTGATGTCCTCACAAAAGCTATGCGCCCGACTCCAGGATAATCCAACCCAGCACTTATGGAATGGGCCTCAACTATCTGCCCATCATCATCCTGAAGCAGGTAGCTCATAGCTTCGTATAGCACACCGACCACTCCCTTTGTTAGAGTAGGAGCATGTTTACCACTGTCCAGACCAAAGCCCGCAGCCTCCACCCCAATCAATCTCACGTCTTTGTCATCAACAAACTCATGAAACTTAACAAAACATTATCATTAACCATAATCTGGTTTAAATAAAGTAAACAAAATCTGGGTAGAACTTAATACAAAATGGTATAACAAAATTAACAAAATTGAGAGAAAAGGGAACCAAGAACTTCAAACACCACTACTTTTACAATTATTGGCTGATTTTAAAAAAAATCAGCTCATTATGAGCTTAAATGGCTCGACAAAATAGCCTTTGATGTTTGAATTCAGCTCTTTTGTTTCAGCTTAATCTTTCATCACCCCATCATCCAAACTTTAATCCAAAATTAATTGACTGAATCTTATAAATTTCATACAAGTACACCACGTATAAGCTAAACAACATTTCCAATAACGATAAATATAACCAAGTAGAAGGCAGTTTCAGAAACATGAGATTTTGGAATAAACTGAGCATATAATACTGATCGGTAAAGTTGCTTGGAAATATTCTAGAGGCTGCAATTCTCTGGACTTAAAAGAAATTGTTTCAAAATAGATCACTATTCTGTGATCATGTTCCAATCACTACTTTCATATTACTATTTACTACTACTATTTTCCACAATGAATGTCCTAAATCATATACATTGGGAATAATACTTTGTCATTTCTTAAAAAAAATACTCAAGTCATAGCATAAAGATAATAACAATAGAGCACTAATTGTATGAAATGGTCTGGTTTAATACACCTTCATCACTTTTGTTTTTTTTATTCATGTCTTCTGATCAAAGATTCAAAACTTTGCAGGGAATGAGTTGGGGATGTGTCAAGTTGTATGAAGTCAGAAGACTTGCTCCGGTGAAATTTGAAGGAATTTCTGGTTAAAAAAGTTTTCAATAAAATCCTAATTTTGTGGTTGCTACTGATCTTGGAGCGGACTTCATCTGCAATAAGAAGCTGTCAACTGTGGATTTCAAGAAGCAGCTAGGCATCAAGAATCCCAGTGGAAGACAAAAAACTATGCTAAGAAATAGAAGAGGAAGGAAATCCTAGATAGATTTAGCTTTCTTTTTATTGCGAAAGAGTATATGCTATATACGGCAAATGCTATTATATTATATATATTGATCATTTATGCAATAAAATCTTCTTTCAACATAAAAAAAGGCAGTTTCATGATAATGCCAAAACCCCAAAAATAAACCTGGACTAGTTCAAATTGGTTGTTCTTCTTTGATGTAGAAAATTTACTATTAATCTATGTGAAGTACATTGATCGGGTCAAACTGCAGTTATGCAAGAAATGGTAAAACCTTAAGATTAGTTTACTCTAATCTATGCAAATTACATATTAATTTAGGTCAGAGTCATACATATTATTGCTTTCATTAATGGAGTAGATTCACTTTGTTCTTAATCTTGAAGTTCAAAATCATCTTTATGTTTTTGAAGAATGACTAGTATTACTTCAAAGGATTGGCCAATTGTACACATCCCTGGAGTGTTCTTTGTTACTCTTTGTTAATCTTGGAGTGTCAATTGGGAAATGAGTTGAAATTGGAACATCCAGCAAAGCCTACTAAAGCCTACTGATGCAGCATGGATATATTGAGATGGAGTGCAATAGAGAAATTTAATTATGCACTACACTTTTGGCATATTCACCTCTTTCAGAAGGTGGTTTCAGTTGTCAATTTCAAAATGAACATCATTAGTAATATAGTAAAAGCATAACTACTCTTACTTTGTTCATTATACAACCTATATCATATCATATTAACAAGTGTAAAATAAATAAATGGAATCTAGTAGTGATATTGATCAATGATTTCATGCTTCAGATTACCCATGTAAAAACAAACTTTAAAAAGTCTTGTATATGTGCATAATATAAGTTGCGGCATTAACCTCAGTGTTTTCTTACTTTTTGCATTTGTTTTTATAGATTTTTTAGGGTAGAAGGCATATATCAATCAGCTTTATTTAGAGCAATACAAAATAAGATCAATAAATGGGACAACAATGCCAATCAAGCCCAACGACTCATACTTTTTCATCATTTGAGGAACTCTTCCCTTACTCATTCATCACATGTTCATTTTAAGAAAACAAGATTGAAAGATTCAAGAACAGAACAATAAGCACCGCGGCCTAAGACGAGTCAATACATAGAAAAGATCCATTCTTTACACAGAAAGGCAGCCTGTGCTTGGACGGGCGGTGCTCAGAATTATAGAAGTTTTTATATTACTTGCTTGGTTGTTTACATATAAATGCATTGAACAACATAACTGCTCTTACTTTAAATCACCTGTATAGAAATTTTTATATTCTTTACTACTTTCATCTTAAGCTTCCATCATCCCTTCATCCAAACAACTTTTATCCTAAATTAATTGACTAATTTTTATAAATTTCATACACGTATACAATGTATATGCTAAACACAATTTACCTCTTTCATATGAAGAAGGTGAAGAAAATCGTGATAGCATGAAGATCAAAACCAAGATTTACCCAAACTAAATTCAGGTTAAACCAATTCACAATTTCACAGTCCAAAATGAAAATCAAAATAGGGATATTAACGTTTACATACGAGTTCGATCATAAATCATAATTGGCGAATGAGAAGTGAAAAAATAAGCCATAACATACCTACCTCGAATTGAGCGGCTGCTACGAAGTGCAGACGCAGTTTTTCCTGGTTTCTTCGCCTCCCCGAGACCCAGCT